TCAAGAGAGGTTTCTTGTCATCCATTAGAGCTTTAATCTTTTCTCTTATCTACTCTTTTGAGAGCTATTGTTGAGAGGTTGAAGAAGATTATTCTTCTTGTTGTTCAAGGCTTATGTGATTTAAGTCTTGGTTGTGAAGTCTTGTAGAGGGCATATCTACGAGCGGTTGTGTCGAGGCTTGTGGGATTCAAGTTCTCGAGTTGTAAACGGTTTGTTAAGCACCCGTAAGCTTAACGGAAGTAGTGGTAGCTTCGAGAGAGTCTCTCGGGGAACTGGACTAGCCACGAGGTGGTGAACCAGTATACATCGGTGTGTTCTTTGCCTTCTCTATTTTATTTCCGCTGCACTTTCGTTTATCTTATTTAATCCTGCGAAAATCGGTAAACATTCTCAACAACTCTATTCACCCCCCCTCTAGAGTTGCACGCCTTGTCTAACAGTTACAAAGGTGGGGGAGGCCAAAAGAAACCCCTACATTACGGCCAAAATTAAAAAAGGAGAAAATGAGAAAAAATCCATCAACTACTGCCAAAGGCAGATGCATTATATATATATATATATATATATATATATTGCACATTTTATTGTTTAGGAGGTTAATGACAGATTTGGGGATTTTGTTGATGGCAATGGTGTGAAGGGGGATGGAATTGAGGACGTGCTTGATGAGGATAAGCCTTCCACTCTGGGAAAGTTGTCTTCTATACCATCCTTTAAGCTTTTTGTCAATATATATATATATATATATGTATGTATATATAGACACACACACACACACACATATATATACTTATATATATATATACACATATATGTATACATACATACATACATACATACATACATACATAGATATATATATATATATATATCTGTGTTTGGAAACATCGCCATAAAGGTTGGATGATTCACGATGACAATCTCACCAGGGCTGGGCTACAAATGTTTGCACTTAACGGAAAGGCAATTCCAGGAGCAAGAAGATGACGAAGGTGGAGCCTAGTGACTGAAGGGGGGAAATCGTTCTCTGCGAAGGATTGTAATAGCTTGGATTTATCCGTTTCCTTAAAGTCAGGATATTGGTTTGGTTCCTTTTGATTTATTCCTTTTTTATTTTATTGTGTTTTAACCTTCGAGGCTTCGGTCAAGTCCTCCTCGAACGTGTACGGATCTCGTTTTTAAATAAAATCGGTAAGGAACCCTGAACCTTACCCCACCGACTTTGGTGGTTTCTTTTCGGGGAAAAAAATATATCTGTGTGTGTGTATATACACACACACACACAGACACACATATATATATTTATTTATATATATTTATAATACGGAGTACATTTTACAATGGTGAAATATATGTTTATGTAATTGTTGAAAAAATGAAATTTTTTTATATAAATGTATTAAAATATATTTAAAAAAACTAATTGAACCAATGAAATGCATCCACCTCATTAATTGGTGCAGATGTGGATGCATATGTGGCATGTCACATGTCAACACCAGAAGAAATAAACTCAACTATATGTATAATAGTATTTTAACTCGTGCCATGCATGGGGTCGAACGAAATTTTTGTCGATTCTGAATTATTTGAATGCAATATATTCTCCGGAATCAAGTAAATATAATTCGAACACGATTTTTAATCAATAGACAACAATGCTAAAGTAGATTATATAATATTTGAGGAATTAAAAGTGTATTCAAGAAAGTTGTTTTAAATATCCAATTGTCTTCAACACCTACATCTGAATATGCTTGGCATGAAGAATCTGAACTTAAGTACTGTTTATCACCTTCTAAAATAAAAGATTGGACATGCAACTTCATTTTCCATTGAAAAACCTAGAGCGCGGGTGCCAATAGTGGATTATTCTAAAAAAAGATTAATTTTTTATGTTCTCTAATGGATTAGGATAAGTGAAGTCCATTATACTCTTGAGGGGGTACTTTTGTCAAGAATCAAGAATTTAGAAAGATTTCAACGTCAAAAATTCCATCAATCACTTGTCCAAGCTTTTCATATTTGACTTTGATTGTTCAATAAAAAAGCTTGTGTGTCCTATTTGTGCAAGAGAGTGTAGATGAATGCAATCTCATATTCTTAATCAATGTATCTTTACAATACAACCATACTTTTGAAGAATTGGCAGTAGCACCTACAACTTCCTATCTCTAACCTTTGAGTAAAACTGAAAGAATATGGATAAAATCACCCTAGAACAATTATTTTAAAGATTCTAAATTTAATGTAAGGTCTGTCTTTAGCTCTACATTTCATTATTATCATATATCTTGCAATCTCTGGTCATTTACATGTTATGGTAATGAATAAATCTCGACAATTAAGTTGTCTATAAATAACCATTACATCTTGTGAGGTGTTAAATATATATCTTAATCTCCCAATAAGGGTAGATGATAGGATAATTCGTTGGCCAATAAATGCCGATTCAGTATCAACTGTGATCACAGCTTCATGTAAGCCACTCATAATTGCTCCCTAACTTGATCCTTGTTTAACCGCACACACTGAATTCTTTGTGCTTCAACTATCGTGTATGCATCAACCAAAAATTGTAAATATAATCTTTGTGCAAACAACAAAATATCACCATCATTTTCTCTTTATTGTATTTGAAATGCAACGAATTCTCTCACTGATATTCTCTGAATTCATTTTTACGCAAAACCTTGAAAGAGAAAATTTTAGGTGCTATCATGAATTCCTCAAAATTATGGTTGTATTCTAAAGTTTTTACGTTGACAAGGAATATGAGATTACATTTATTTATGTCCTCTTGCATAGATAGAGATACACAAGCTTTTTCTAATTGGATAATCAAATTTGGAGATAGAAAGCTTGGAAAGATGATTGATGGAACAACTGACGTTGAAATTGTTCACAAATATTTTATTCTAGACACGGGTTCTCCCCTCAAAAGTATATTGGACTTCACTTATTTGAACCTATTAGAGAATATGAAAAGTTTTCTTTTTCGAGGACAAGGCACTACTACCACCCATGCTTGAAGATTTAAAAATGGTAAATAATGAATTTGTCATATCCCCGTGCTTAAGTTTTGATTCATCATGCTAAGTAGACTCAGATATAGGTGTTGATGGTGACTGGATAACAGTTGAATTTTTGAATGAAATCAAGTGTTCGAAAATCCGAAATCACAAAAAAATTTTAAAAAAGGGGTACCAATTATGTTACTAAGGAACATTGACCAAATATATAGACTATGTAATAATACAAGATTAATTGTTGACGAGTTGCGAAAGAACGTTATTAGTGCTATTATGGTTTTGGAAAATCGAGTGGGAAAAAAGTTTACATACGCCGAAATTTTTCTATTTTTTCTATTTATTACCATTTTTCTATATGTGTTATATATGTACATTACTCTATATGTATTTTCCTATTTTTATTACAATTTCAAAATACATGTTTTTATTAACATAATAACATAATAATATATCTATTTTATTAGTCTTTCTTCATTATGGTAATTATATTTTTAATTACCTTATTTATATACGAACTTATTTTTTTACTAACATGGTGTGTGTGAATACTTTATTACCAAAACACATGTTTATATTAACTTTACCGTTCAAAATACATGTATATATTACCATTTTTAAATGTAATAATTTTTTAGATATTATTTCATATTATTTCTCTAAAGTAAAAACATGTGTTGATGGGTTTTACTATTTATGTAGTATTGTTTATTATTTAATAGCGTTTCCTAAATATAATTAAATACAATTACCATTTGTATAAATTGCTTAAAAAATGATTGATTTATTAATGGTAAGTGTAGTTATGTTTGCATACTATAACGTAATATTTTACTAGCATTCTAACCCGTACAACGCACGGGATCGAGCGAAATTTTTGTTGATTCTAAAACTTTTTTTAATATAATATTTTTTTGAAATAAAAAATATATTTCTCACATGATTTTTAATATTATAGACAAAAATTCCAAAGTTGAATAAATAAAATTTGAGGAATTTAATGTGTACTCAACAAAGTGTTTTTTAATACCAAATTTTGTAATAGATTTTAGGATATACAACATATTTGGTATGGTTGGTAGGATTTCTATTGTCATCTAGAACCAAGATTTGTAATTTTATCTTTGTCTTCAGTTTTGAAACAACAACATAAAGCTGACTATGAATGAAGAATGAATTGGTTAAATATAATCCAACAAATTACAACGTTGACCTTGACTTTTGTTGATAGTCATTGCAAAACATAAAACTATTGAAAATTATCCTCTCTAGAACTTCAATTGTAGTTCTTGATCAGATGATGATAACACTTTTTCACGGCTATTCAAACTATTTTGATACCTCTTTTTAAAAACTATTTTGTGCTTTGGCATCTCCGAACATTTGATATCATTCAAAACTCAACTGCTATTCAATCACCATCAACACTTATATCTAAATCTATCTAGCATGAATAATCAAAACTCCATCTCCAGGAATGAAGGATATGAAAAAATCATTTTCCATTTCTACAACCTCAAGCATGGGTGCCAGTAGTAGTGCCCTATCCTTGAAAAGAAAATAACTTTTTAGATAAAAAATATTAGTAATCCTATGATTTTGAATGAAAAATTGTAAATACAATTAGGAAAATTTTATTTATTTTTTCTTTTACGTTTGAATAAGTAATCATTCAAGCCCGTGAAAACATTATTTTTTAATTAATTTGATTTAAATAGTTAATCATTAAAAAAATAGTCTAGGTGTATTTTTTTATAAAATATTAATTTAGAGATTTAAATATACAAGAGTATTTTATATTTTTATGTCAATGTTTAAACTAATAAAAGAAAAACAAACTTCATTTAATAAGCCTATCATAAACAAATATAAAATTTATTTGGAGACAAATATGTTAGTCGGTTTAGACGCTGTGCCCACGCTTTAGACGGGGGGGGTGAATAAGGCGTTTAAAATCTTTTTGAAGTTTGATAAAAACGATGTTGGCAAATGCGGAAGCAATATATAAAACGCAGAAATAAAAGTGTAAATAAAATGCACACCGATTTTATACTGGTTCGGGAAACCCCTACTCCAGTACCTCAAGGCTCCTCCTCAAGGATTTCCGAATCCACTAAGTCCCGGCCTCTTGAACTCCGTCAAAGCACCGCACTAGTTTTGGCAAACAACCCTTGCCAATAGGAATAACTCCGAGATTTTACAACGACTATCTCGAACCGTTTACAATGAAGATTTAACGGCTATCTTCTACCGTTCCCCCAAGGATTTCAAAGGCTATCCTTGAACCTTTACCCAAGGATTTATACAGCTATCCTCGACCGATACAATATGAGAATTTAACGGCTATTCTCGACCGTATAAAGATGTGTTTGAAAAACACAAAAAAGAGTTCTACACAACGGCTTGAATATAAAAATGAAGAACAAAACTTAGCCGGTGTAGAAGGAAATTATACTCTCTCAAAAATAAAATATAAACTTATGAATATGAGAGTATATAACTAGAAACACAAGCTCAAAGTGTGTGTATAAAAATTAGGAATTTAAGGCTCTTAAAATAGCCAAAATATTTAAAATAATTAATAAAAGGATGAACACACTTAGAATAAAAAGAGAGGATGTTTAGAGCTTTGTTTCTTGAAAAATATGAAGGATTAGGCTTGTATTTATAGTGGAAGATGTTAATTAGCCGTTGGGAGGTGATTAGGATTGATTAATTTCAAAATCACAAATCAGGAACAGTAATCAAACGGTCACGGTAGGGGGGTCCCGTCCATACGGTAGGGGGGTCCCGTGCTTACGGTGGCTAGGTACCTTCTCAGGCCAAAACTCTCTGGCGGTACCTATCTTAGTATGGTACCCCTTACGGTAGGGGGGTCCCGTCCAAACGGTTGGGGGGTTCCGTGCAGACGGTAGGGGGGTCCCGTGCTACAGTCCTGCATTTTTCAAAATATCCTTAATCCTTCGTGTTTGAGTTTAAAACCTTTTAGATGTTTGAAAATGTTTATGGGATGGTTTTAAACATATTTTGTGAGTGCTTTTGAGCTTGTGAATATAGGTATATAAAGTCATATCCTTACATTGGTTTCTACCTATATTCTACGCTAGTTTAGTGTTTCGACTTCATTCTTGAGTACCGAATCTTAATGGATTCTTGTTTTTCCTGAAACACTTAAACAAACGTTAAGCTCTTATATTGTTTGTTAACATCAAAACATGAGGCTTAGCAAACCAAGGCTAACAATCTCCCCCTTTTTGATGTTGACAAACAATATATTTCAAAGTGAGTTAGGCGGGAGTAAAATAATGAAGCAAGTAAGCTACCCCTAAGAATAAGCGTACTTAAAATACTCACTTTGAACTTTTCTTGTGTTTATTAAAAGTTTAAATTTGATGCAAATAGTTACACAAGAATGCACTCAAGTCAAGTTGCATATGCACCACTTTGAAGTATACATCTTCTCCTCCTTTTGTCAAAATCAAAAAGGGTATTTTGAAAATTTTAACCATGTATAATTTCTTGAAACTCTCCCCCTATCAAAATGAATTTTTTGGAAAAATGATAGTTTGGAGACCATTGGGAAAAAGGTGCATTTACAACTAAACTTCCCCTAAAAATGAAAACTCCCCCTTAAATTATGCAAGTTTTTTAAAAACTTTATTTTTCAGGGATTTTTGGGGATTATTTTATAAAAGGCGTGATTTAAAATGGATTTTGAAAATATTATTTAATCATGCAAACCAAGGCTAAAACAAATAAAAGCACGTATGGGATAAGGTTTTTATTTTTTGAAAAGAATTAAAACCAAACAAAATATCTTATCCCAATGAGCAAGAGAAACTTACCTTGGCTTATGCCATTCTTTTTTCGGCTTTGAGTATACTTCTTTCCTCTTCACATACTTCTTCCATTTGAGGAAATCTGTATACTTCATTCTCATTGTTTTCTCTTCATCTTCTTCATCATTTGACTCTTCCGTAGAGCTTGAGTCACTTGAATCATCACTTGATTCACTTGACTCTTCACTTGATGATTCTTTGGAAGCTTTGAAGGCGTTTGTAAGTTTGGGATTTTCACGCATTTCTTCCTTTTTTATCTTTCTCAACAAAAGTTCGTGAGAATACAAGGAAGACCAAATGTGGGCGGTTTTGGCCATATCACATTTGGGTAATAAGTCTACGATACTATTATGTCATTCTTTTGGTAAAGAAAATAGAATTTTCGTATTAAGCTCGAAAGTAGTATACGTCTTACCCAACTTACTTAACTTATTGACGATCTCATTGAACCTTTTGTTCATGTCTTGGATCGTCTCGCATGGCCCTTTCTTGAAAGATTCGTATTCGGAATTCTCAAGGGCAATCATCGTTTGCTTAGTTGAGACGTCGCCTTCATGAGTAGCTTGTAGCAAGTCCCATACCTCCTTGGCCGTTTTGCATGAGCATACTCGTGCAAATTCATCGGGGCCGAGAGAGCAATGGAGGATGTTGATTGCCTTTGCGTTCATTGATAACTTTCTCTTATCTTCCGACGATAATCCTGCAAAATCACCATTACTCAGCACAAACGGCCCGTGAAGTACATTCAACCATAAATCAAAATCAATAGATTGAATGAAGTATTCCATCCGCATTTTCCAATAAGAATAGTTTTGGCCATTGAAAAACAGAGGGCGGTGAATGCTTTGGGAATCCATTTTGGCCATTTTTCAATAAATTTGAATTTTAATAAATAGGGGAAATAAAATTTTGAGATTTAAAAATTCAAATTTAAAAAGGGACACAACAAGTGGATCTTTGTCGTAGATGCGGTTAAACACTTTCAACTACGAAACCGCTCTGATACCAATTGTTAGTCGGTTTAGACGTTGTGCCCACGCCTTAGAGGGGGGGTGAATAAGGCGTTTAAATCTTTTCGGAGTTTGATAAAAATGGTGTTGGCAAATGCGGAAGCAATATATAAAACGCAGAAATAAAAGCGTAAATAAAATGCACACCGATTTTATACTGGTACGGGAAACCCCTACTCCAGTACCTCAAGGCTCCTCCTCAAGGATTTCCGAATCCACTAAGTCCCGGCCTCTTGAACTCCGTCAAAGCACCGCACTAGTTTTGGCAAACAACCCTTGCTAATAGGATTCACTCCGAGATTTCACAACGGCTATCTCGAACCGTTTACAATGAAGATCTAACGGCTATCTTCTACCGTTCCCCCAAGGATTTCAAAGGCTATCCTTGAACCTTTACCCAAGGATTTATTCAACTATCCTCGACCGATACAATATGAGAATTTAACGGCTATTCTTGACCGTATAAAGATGTGTTTGAAAAACACAAACAAGAGTTCTACACAATGGCTTGAATATAAAAATGAAGAATAAAACTTAGCAGGTGTAGAAGGAAATTATACTCTCTCAAAAATACAATATAAACTTATGAATATGAGAGTATATAACTAGAAACACATGCTCAAAGTGTGTGTATAAAAATTAGGAATTTAAGGCTCTTAAAATAGCCAAAATATTTAAAATAATTATTAAAAGGATAAACACACTTAGAATAAAAAGAGAGGATGTTTAGAGCTTTGTTTCTTGAAAAAATATGAAGGATTAGGCTTGTATTTATAGTGGAAGATGTTAATTAGCCGTTGGGAGGTGATTAGGATTGATTAAATTCAAAATCACAAATCAGGAACAGTAATCCAACGGTCACGGTAGGGGGGTCCCGTCCATACAGTAGGGGGGTCCTGTGCTTACGGTAGCTAGGTACCTTCTCAGGCCAAAACTCTCTGGCGGTACCTATCTTAGTACGGTACCCCTTACGGTAGGGGGGTCCCGTCCAGACGGTAGGGGGTTCTGTGCAGACGGTAGGGGGGTCCCGTGCTACAGTCCTGCGTTTTTCAAAATATCCTTAATCCTTCGTGTTTGAGTTTAAAACCTTTTAGATGTTTGAAAATGTTTATGGGATGGTTTTAAACATATTTTGTGAGTGCTTTTGAGCTTGTGAATATAGGTATATAAAGTTATATCCTTACATTGGTTTCTACCTATATTCTACGCTAGTTTAGTGTTTCGACTTCATTCTTGAGTACCGAATCTTAATGGATTCTTGTTTTTCCTGAAACACTTAAACAAACATTAAGCTCTTATATTGTTTGTTAACATCAAAACATGAGGCTTAGCAAACCAAGGCTAACAAAAGAGAGTATATTTTTTAATTAAAGAAATCTTATTTATTCATTGAAAGTTTTATTATAAATGAAATGGAAAAGAATGTCAAATTAAAAAGAATATTCTAATAAAAAAGATGACCTAAATTCCATATTTAAATTTATTCGATGATGTTAAAATCATAAAGAATGTTTGTGTAAACAGAGTATGGTATGGTAACACATATTTTGATTAACTATATTCTATATTTTAATTTAAGTATCATTTGTTAATAGATAATTAAAAATAAAATATTTTTAAATTTGGATCATAAATGGTCTAAAACGAATAAGTTTTATAGTCATTAAATCAAATCATAAAATTAATATATTTAAACTACTAAATTATGTGTAGTATTTTTTCTAGTTGAAGATTAGTATAAACCAATCATGTAGTATTCTTTAATTTTTTATCATTACTTAAACAAATAGATTCAAAATTAAAATTTTAAGAATCTCCTAAACAAATACTCATATAATGTTTTTTAATGGTGAAAAGAGTTAAGTGTTTATTAATTGAAAGCTTTGTTATACATAAAGAGAGAAAAAAATATTGAATTAGAAAAGACTATTATTATAAAACAAAAATCTAAATTTCATATTTAAATCTATTCAAAAAATGTCATCCTAAAATATTTATTTCATATTTTCTTGTTTGAAAATTAAGTGAAATAAATCACATAATATTTGGTAATGAAAATGCTCATATATAAATTCAAAAGCAAACATCTTAAAATCTTTTTTAAATTCATACTTTCTAAAGCATTCGGAGAATATAATACTTTTGGTGTGGTTGCAAGATTTCATTATCATTTAAAACTAATATTTTTAACTTTGTCTTTATTTTACTCGTGAACAATAACATAAAGTTAACTATGAGTGAACTTTAACTTAGTTAAAATAATCAAACAAATAGCAATATTTGACTTTGACTTTTCTTCTTAGTCATAACAAAACATAAAGAGTTCATTGTCGTATATCTTCATCTGGTCTTCATTCATTTTAGATATATAATGTTTAAGATTAAATGATAATTTTCCTTTACCAGTTCAACTTCTCTATCAAGAAACTATTTTAAAATCTATTAAGTTGAAAGAGAGCAGATGGCGAAGGAAATTTTTCTTTTGCAGATTTTTTTGTTAAATGCCCCTCAAATTGCCACATCACCATTATTTGTCTAAAATGTTGACACATAAGCTCTGCTACATGTCACCCTTTAGATCCGCCAAATGTTGCATTCCTGCAGCTCCGACTTTGCTTTATATATATAAAGGATTACCTTTGCCTCTTATAATTTCTTTTTTGGTTGATGTATATTTAAATGCTTCGGTCATGTTCAATTAGTAATTACTCCCTCCGTCCTATAATGATCTTCTCAGAGCACTATTCACACTTCACGGGAATTTATATTTATTTGTGTTTTTTCATGGCCTATATGATAAAATAAAATATTCTTTTCACCACTTGTTTTGTTGAACTTTTGGTGTAGTTTTTTAAATATGTATGTTTTATTTTTTATTTGTATACCAATATTTAAATAAAATAGATTGAAAAAACTTGGGATTTTTCTTCGTTTTGCGAACCGGGAAGATCATTATAGGACGGAGGGAGTATTATTTATATTAATAGATCATTTGTTTGTAATTGACATACTGAATTGCATTAAATACTTTTCAATACATTTTACAACAATTTTATTTTTTATATACCGCATTAAATTTTATATACCGCATTATTAAGTTGTATAAAGTTGACCATAAGATAAGGTGTGTATAAAAAATTGAATGTATTTGAATATTATAAACGCAAGTATATATATTGGACCGCATTATGTGAATTCATCACATCCAAATGATTGGAACGCAAGTAGGTATATCCATTAGATGAGCAACAACTAAAGGAGTATAGATTGATTTTTTACCATTTAAGAGAAAATCTCCTAAGCAACTATCCAACAATTTAGAGGCTATTTCCTGTTAGAATAAAGGCCCAACGCTAGAGGGGGGTGAATAGCGTTTAAAGCAAAATCGCAGGAAATTAAAAACGAGAGCGAAAAAGTAAAGAGCGTAAGGAAGGAGCACACCGAATTTTATCCTGGTTCACCATAACGTGTGGCTAATCCAGCCTTTCGAGGGACTCTCTCGAGTTACACTAACTCCGTTAAGCTTAAAGGTGCTCAACAAACCGATACAACTTGAGAACTCGAGTCACACGAGCCTCAACGCCTTTGCTCGGAGATACCGCACTCTAAGACTTCTCACGAAGGAACGAAAGACTTCCTTCGAGTTTACAACAAGGGAACAACCTCCCTTAAAGTGTATAGAAACACTTAAACACTTAGGAATAAAACTCTCACAAAGAGTAGATATGAGTGAACTAGTAAACGCTCAAGAACATGACAATTTCTTCAAGAATTGGCTCTCAAATAGCAAAAAAAGGGAATGCTTATGCAATGAAAGAGTATTGAAAATGTTGAAGAATTGTGTGAAAAATGAGAGGATTTGGGTGCCATTTTATAGCCTAAAATGGGATAAACCCGTTGCTAAACTTTCCAACAGAATGAAGACAAATTTTTCAGAGACACAGGGTGATAGTCGATTGTCATAGCTTAATAATCGATTATCAAAAGATTCCCTGCTCAAAAATTTAAAATTCTATCCGTTGGAGGACAACAGTAACCCAGACAATCGATTGTCAACAAGTGATAATCGACTATTGGTCCTCTTAGAAGTTCCTGGGTTTTGGCTGCAGACTGTGATAATCGATTGTTGAAGAAGTGACAATCGATTATTGCGTGCTTCAGAACTTGTTTGGTAAAAACCAAGTTTTCAAGGTCGTAAATCACATGCGTACGGTTTAGACCGTTTTTCACGTGTTGGACCGATTGACCAAGATATAAAAGTGGTTTTTATAAAATATTTATTTGGGAACCTTTTAAATATGCTCAGAGATAAAAACGAGGTTTAAAACATTGAAAGCTACCGAGTTGGTTCGGACGCCAAAAACCGAATGCCGAACCCCGAATGCCGTATGCCGATGCCGAACACCGAGTGCTGACCGAGGTGGTTTTTGGTACGGGCAAGGACCAGGGATTTTAATACAATGAAGCTTTTAAAAATGTTTATTTGATGCACAAAAAAACGTTTTATGATTTTGTAAAAATATTTTGACTCTTTGAGAACCGAGACTTGAATTGATTGTCGGTTTTGATCACAAAAGACCGACTCGACTATGTCTTCAATTCTTGACCTTGTCCTTGAATCTTTTTGGTCTTGTTCCATGCCTTTCTTCACGCCTTGAGTTATTCAACGAAACTCTTCATATCCACGGCGGTTTGGCAATTATCAAAACCTGTCAGAAATGAACACGACTTTAGTTAAACGTACAAAGTGTGTTCCAACAATTTCCCCCTTTTTGATAATGGCAAACAAGACGGGGATATGCATAGGGTTTTGATCTTTTTGAAAAAAAAATCCCCCTTAATAAAAATTCCCTCTTAATATATGCATAGCCCTTATCTTCTCCCTTTTGACATTAACAAAAAGACTTAACAACAAAAATCATAAAGATTTTTATTTATCAATTAAGGGAAATAGTGGAGTACATAACGGAAGCAAATTTAAAAAGTATAATAAATAAAGAAGAGAAGAGAAAAGAGCTAGAGCTCTAGAAATCCTGTGAAAGATCATCGAGAAGTTGGTCTTCGTCGATGTCTTCCTCTTCTTCTTCATCACCACCACCATCATCATCATCATTATCTTCTTCTTCTTCTCTTTTGGCGTCCTCTTCCTCTTTTTCTCCACCAACGTCATTAGTTCCGCTTGGTTCACCACCGAAGTTTGGCGGAAGAGTGTAAGGGACCATTTGAGCGTAGGGGTAGTTGACAAAGTCAAAATATACGTGAAGCTCACGGCTCAAAATATTGACATTTTGGGCCGTTTGGGAGACGTTGGTGTCAATCCGAGAGAGAGTGGCGGTCAAGGCGGCCATTTGCTCGGCAAGAGAAGGGGTGTTTGAAGAAGCATCCCTTGGTTGACGTTGTGGACGAGGCTGTCGAAGTTGAAGCCACGTTCTTGCTGGTGCGGGAACGCTTTCTTTGTCCTCCTGCCATTACAACAAGGTAGAGAGAGAACAGAGGAATTTACAGAAATTTGGCTAAGAATTGAAGAACAATAGCAAGAATTAAGGAATTATGATGAATACATGAAGTAATTTGGATTGGAATGAGTAAAAAAATGAAAGGATATCACCAATTTATAGAGTTGGAGGCCTAGAGATCCGTTGGTGGAGTAAAACAGCAATTAAGTCCTTTTCAAACGGCTAGAAAACGGTCATATTTTTGAAAATCTGCCGTTGGTAATCGATTTACAACTTTTGTAAATCAATTGTTGTTGACCTCTGATTCTCCGCCGAAGGATCTGCAGGCTTCAATAGTCGATTTACACCATGTGTATAATCGATTGTCGCTGGTTTGCGCCTGTTTTGCTCCAAAACTTCTGCAGGATGGGATAGTCGATTATTCTAATGATGATAATCGATTGTTTAGGTTTGCGGTTGATTTGCTCCAAACTTCCGCGGGCTGTGATAGTCGATTATCACAAGCCTGTAAGTCGATTTACACCAAGTCTAGAAATCAGAAATCGATTTACTTTGTTCCCCCTGACTTAGACACCTGAAAATAAAATTAAAAGAAAAGCCCTGCAAAAAAGAATTAAAAACGTCTCCGACGTTCAAGTTAGTAGGGACCGAAAAATGATAATTAATGCACAACTTAGATCATCGTGGAGTCAAGGATTCCGAGTTCACTACGAATGCGGAAGAACGACTCTTTCTCTAAAGGTTTTGTGAAAATGTCGGCTAATTGATTGTGTGTTTCAACGAACTCAATTTCGACATCACCTTTGAGAACATGATCTCTAATGAAATGATGCCTAATGTCAATATGTTTCGTTCTTGAGTGAAGAACCGGATTCTTCGTCAAGCTTATGGCGCTAGTATTATCACATCGAAGAGGGACGTGATCGATACTAAGGCCATAATCCACTAGTTGTTGCTTCATCCAAAGGATTTGAGCACAACAACTACCGGCGGCAACATATTCCGCTTTGGTTGTGGATAACGCAACACTGACTTGCTTCTTACTAAACCATGAGACTAAAGAACTACCAAGAAAGTGACAAGTCCCACTCGTACTCTTACGGTCTAATCTACAACCAGCAAAGTCCGAGTCGGAATAGCCCAAAAGATGACAAGGAGACCCTTTGGGGTACCATAGTCCAACGTTCATTGTACCAACAAGATATTTCATTATCCGTTTCACCGCCGTTAAATGCGATTCTTTCGGACAAGATTGATACCTTGCACATAAACAAACACTAAACATGATATCGGGTCTACTAGCGGTAAGATAAAGAAGGGATCCGATCATACCTCGATACTTCTTTACGTCTACTTCCTTACCCTTTTCATCTTTGTCCAAGTGCTCGGAGGTGCTCATCGGGGTAGCCATTGCCTTGGAGCCATCCATTTCAAATCTTTTTAGGAGCTCTTAGCAATACTTTGATTGACAAATGAAGGTTCCTTCGTTCATTTGTTTGACTTGTAAGCCCAAGAAGAAATTGAGTTCCCCCATCATGGACATCTCAAATTCATTTGTCATTAAGATTGAAAATTCCTTGCACAAACATTCGTTAGTAGCACCGAATATAATGTCATCTACGTAAACTTCCACCAAGAGGATGTTGTCGTTTTTACTCTTGATAAAAAGTGTAGTATTAACCTTCCCCCTTTTGAACCCGTTTTCCAAAAGAAATTTGCTCAACCGTTCATACCAAGCACGAGGTTCTTGTTTAAGACCGTAGAGTGCTTTCTTTAGTTTATAGACATACTCCGGGTGCTCAAAATCCTCAAAGCCCGGGGGTTGATTAACATACACTTCCTCTTGAATAAAACCATTGAGGAAGGCACTCTTAACATCCATTTGGTATAGTTTAAAATCCATAGATGAAGCAAAAGCGAGTAATAAACGAATAGCTTCTAAACGTGCTACCGGTGCATAAGTTTCTTCAAAATCAATGCCTTCTTCTTGATTGTAGCCTTTAGCTACGAGCCTAGCTTTGTTTCTAGTGATTATCCCATTTTCATCGAGTTTGTTACGGAACACCCATTTCGTACCAATTATGGTGTGATCATCGGGTCTTGGCACCAATTCCCAAACGTCATTTCGTTTGAATTGGTTAAGCTCCTCCTGCATTGCCAAGGTCCAATATTCATCATCAATTCCTTCCGAAATGGTTGTAGGTTCAATTTGAGAAACAAAAGCCATGTGACCTACGGTGTCCCTAAGAGAGCTACGAGTACTTACCTTTCGATTGATGTCACTGATTACCTTATCAAGAGGATGGTTCTTTGAAGTCCTCCATGCCCTTGGCATTGGCGTTTCCTCCTCTTGTGGTTGTTCCTCGTTTATGGGTGGCTCTACTTCTTCATCTTGGCTTTCCTTTGAGTTGTCTCCTTCGTCATTGTCGTTGAGATAGATGTTCTCCAACAAATCTACAAGATCATCACAAGAAACCTTTCTCGCCAAGCGAGCATCATTTTCGGCAAAGACAACATGAGGAGATTCCTCAATGGTTAAGGTGTGTTTGTTAAAGACTATATAAGCCTTACTACGCAATGAATAACCAAGAAAAGTTCCTTCATCCGACTTTGCATCAAATTTACCCAAGTTATATTTTCCGTTATTGTGAATAAAACATTTGCAACCAAAGACTCGAAGATGGGAGTGGTTTGGATTTCTTCCTTTGTATAATTGATATGGGGTTTTCATGAGTATCAGTCTAATGACGGCTCGGTTTAACACGCAGCTCGCGGTACTCACGGCATCCGCCCAAAAATACTTAGGAATTTTTTCCTCATCGAGCATAGTTCTAGCCATCTCCTCGAGACAACGATTTTTGCGTTCCACCACGCCATTTTGTTGTGGTGTACATGGAGCGGAGAAGTTATGCTCGATGCCTAGTTTGTCACAAAACTCGGTAAAGAGATCTCGTTCGAACTCTCCACCATGATCGCTTCGTATGGCTACGGTGGTTAAGCCTTTTTCATTTTGAACATTTTTTAGAAAAGTTTTGAAAACATGAAATGCCTCACTTTTATGAGTTAGAAATAATGTCCATGTGAATCGAGAGTAGTCATCGACAATCACAAAGGCGAAATAGTTTCCCCCAAAACTTTTTGTTCTTGATGGTCCAAAGAGATCCATGTGCAAAAGTTGTAGGGGCCTTGTTGTAGACACAACATTTTTCGATTTAAATGAGGCCCTTGTGAAACTTGAGTTTTGGAAGACCAAATGGTGTCCTTCTCAAACTTGAGTTTTGGAAGACCAACTACTAGGTCTTGTGAAACCAATTTATTCAAAAGGTTCATGTTAACATGAGCTACTCTACGATGCCATAGCCACATATCGTCCTCCTTACTCATGAGACATTTTGCAAAGTCAGAGGGAGAATCATCTAAGTTAACCATGTAAATGTTATCAATTCTATCACCACAAAGAATCGTCTTATTGTCACTAAGATGTTCTACCGTACATGATTTAGAATCGAAGGTCACACGATTTCCCTTGTCACACAATTGACTTATGCTCAAGAGATTATGTTTAAGACCCTTAACCAATAACATATTATCAATAGAGGAGGTTTCATTTTTACCAACCGAACCAATGCTGATTATCTTGCCTTTGCCATTATCGCCAAAAACGACATTTCCTCCTTTAGTTGGTTTGATTTGCAAAAATTTGGATGCATCTCCGGTCATGTGCTTAGAGCATCCGCTATCAAGGTACCAAAGTACACTTGATGCCTTCAAGCACACCTACAAATCAATTTAAAAAGATTTAGGTACCCAATTCCTTTTGGGTCCTTGGGCGTTAGGTGCACGTTGGTAGTGTGATTGGTTTTGAGTGCAATGTCTATGCCTAGTGAAACAAACCGGGGCTATATGTCCTACCCTATTGCAATAATGGCAAACAACATTTGGATTATGCATTCTCCTAGGTTGATAATAGTTACTAGGTTTTCTATATTGATTGATCCTAGTTTGAGAAAAAAAATTTATTATTTGAAAAATTGTTTCTAGGTTCTCTAACTTGACCATTGTTTATCCTGGTGTTCTTTCTAGGTGGTCTAGTGTTCCTAGTTGTTGTAGGTTGTCTATTATTGCTCATTTTAGTTTTCCTAGGTTGAGCCTTAGGTTGTTTAGGTGGTTGCTCAACTTTTTCCTTATTATTATTGGTTTCATTTTCAAACCCTAAGCCATGTTTAGTAAGTTGCAAATTGTCAAGAGCATCATTAAGGTTTTTATGAGAAACACCAAACTTCTTCAAAGTTCCTTCAAGTTTTGCAACTTGTTCCTTAAGTGATATACAAGAGCTACATTTTGAACTTTCCAGTTTGTTGGCGCTTCTTTTTCTGAAAAACTTGTTTTCTTCTTTAAGTTTTTCATTATCTTTTGATAGTTTATCAACTTCCTTCTCCATGGAAGTAAGTTGTTTCTTCAAATCCTTGTTAATTTTAGAAGCGTTGACATATTCATCATAAAGTTCATTAAAGGCTTCTTGTACATCAAAAGTGTAAGAATCTTTAGAAGTGGTACATACCTCTTCCGGTGGTTCCTCGTGTGCCATGAGGCAAAGGTTGGCGCTTTCATTTTCTTCGCCTTCCGATGACTTGTTGCCGGAATCACCTCCCCGCGAAATGTACGCTCGGTGCTTTTTGAATGGTTTCTTCTCCTTCCCATTCTTGGCATTTGGGCATTTTGGTTTGATATGCCCAACTTCTCCACACCCATAGCACTTGGGTGGTCCTCCATGCCTCTTGCTCTTTCGTTCATACTCCTTGCGCATGAACTTGTGAAATTTCTTGATAACGAGCCCGAACTCGTTGTCTTCATCGCTTGATTCCTCCACGACGGGTTCTTGGCTCGTGGAAGCCTTGAGTGCAATCCCCTTCTTCTTTTGTTCACCTAAAGAGGGGAAAAGAATGGTAGACTCATAGGTTTTGAGGTTACCTCTAAGCCCGTCGATGGTGACATTTGTGATGCCGATGGACTCTTGGATGGCATCGGCTTTGGAGCGCCATTCCGGTGTGAGACTCCGCAGGATTTTTCCCACAAGCTCCTTGTCTGTGTACGTCTTCTTGAGAACATGGAGATCATTAATGATTTTGGAGAATCGTTCAAACATCACATCGATTTTCTCATTCTCCTTCATACGAAACAATTCATATTCATGGGTTAGAAAATCAGTTTTAGCTTCTCGGACTTGATCCGTACCTTCGTAGGTGATTTCTAGTTTGTCCCACATTTCCTTGGCAGTGGAACAACAAGAGATTTTCCGGTAGTCATCCGGGTTTATGGCACAATAGATGATATTGATGGCCTTGGCATTGTTCTTGTAACGTCTTGAAAACCGGTCTAAAAATTTTTTTAACTTTTTACTACAAAGAAAAAATGTTTGAAATTTAAGTATGAAAAAAAAACGTTCCTTAAAAATATGTCACTATTCTATTGAAAAAAATTAGAATACAAGCTTTAATGATTAAATTGTTTAAAAATATGTCACTATTCTATTGAAAAAAATTAGAATACAAGCTTTAATGATTAAATTGTTAGAGGTGATAAAATTAGTTTTGGTTCTCCACTATTTGAAAAATATAATTTGTTCAAGTAAACCTATTTTCTTGACAAACAAATTATGTTAAAATGATGTGTGAAAAATATGGAACTTAACGGCATAAGTTTTATATTTTTCCAAAAATATTTAATAATCAAAACTATGGAAGTCGGACATGTAATTAAACAAACGGACCAAGAAAACCATTGGTTTTCCTCTCTAAAACATCACGCCTAACACAAGGGAAAACTTTGACTCCCTTCCCATTCATTAACCTCATAATGGAGGTAATGAATATGGCCATTTTTATTTTATTTATACTTTAATATTTTATTTAATTAATGTAAATATGTTATCTCTTCACTTTCCCCTTCACTTTCTAGAATTCTCCTTCCTCACTATAAATAGACTCTCATAACAAGAGAAACTCATGACCACATCGAGAGAAGAAAAGGATGTATAGATTTAGAGAGTAGGTGATTAAGAACGGTTTGTGGCTTTGTTGAGGGAGAGAGTGACGTGGGGGATCGATGCTGTCACGAGATCGATCATCTTGCAACGTCGTCATTCATCAATCTATTATTTCGTCTAACTAATATCAAAGGTGTGCCGTTGACCATAACCTTTAGATATATATATCATGTTCATATATTTTGTGCATATTGTTTTATATCTAAATCCTTGCATTCATACGTATAAACTTACATATGAATATTGTCTTAGGTTCTAGTTTTTTGTTGTGTGCATTTATCTGTATATATGTAAAGTATGTTTTAAAAAAAATTTGACAAACATATGTACGGTAAAAAAAGCATATGATAAAGTTTTCCAGTGATGTTTTTCTTCCTACGGCTGACCAAACCAGAGAGGAAAAACAAACCTGTTTTTGTAAAAAAAACACTAGTGCACTCAGGAAAAAAAAACACAATCGGTATTGTTAAAAAAATGTTTATTTTCTTTCTTATGGTTTTTTTCAAATCAAGAATAAACCACGGAGTATTTGAAAACTAATTGAGCCATATGTATGGTACTAATAATAATAACAACTATATAGACTAAAAAAGAGAATATCTAAATGGCATTGTTGACAATAGTGAAAACAATAAACCACGGAGTACTGAATATTTGTTTTACATACTTACTGTAACCTGTTTTATATATTTGCTGTACTCAAGATATTGTTACAAGGTTTATTTTTCCTATCTAAACAATAATGTATACTTTGTCAGTAAAAAAAAAACTAATCTAAGACATAAGAAGTTAAATAATTAATTAAAGTTTATTTAAAATAGTGAAATGGCCGAAAATGAAATAAGTAGATAAAATGTATACACATGTTACTTTGCAAGAAGAAATCTACGAAATAAAGTGTTTTGTTTCAATAGGGGACGTGAACCATTAAATGATTTCAAAATGGTTTATGTTTAAAAACATTAAAAAATGTTTTATCTAAATGACCGTACTAGGGTTAACCAAACATTTAGTGGACGAAGTAAAAGTTTCAAGATTTATATATCGACGTACTCTGACCAAGTACTGTCACGTTTATATCAAGTGAGTCAAACCACTTTCAAGGCCGGACCCTGTCTATGTGGATGAGCCTATAAATAATCATACCACAACGTGCGCATGAGAACCCAACGATGACCCCTTGGGTCTAGGGTTCACTTCTGATTACTAGACCCGAGGTCACAGGGAGGTATCGAAGTAAAACTACGAAACGACTAGTGCGGTGTTCCAGCCTAGTCACGGCTTAGTCTCTAATCTGTGGTTAACCTAGTAAGTCAAAAGTTTTCTAAATGTCCCCAAGTAATTATTCAAAGTGAAATTATTTCCATCGATGATTTTTAATTATGCGAAAAGTTTTTTTTGAAATAAATTGAATAGCTTAAAAGACCCAAAATATGTTTACATGTTATATATGTCTACTGGTTATTTGCCACTCAGTTTATGCTGAGCGTGTAGTGTTTAACTGCACGCAGGTACTAGTAAGGAAAACAACTGCTGAGGAGGAAAGCATGGACGTGGAGGCCGTGCCGAAGGAGTTTTTTTATATTTAATAATGAATAAAACATCGAACTTAAATTTACTTTATTTTTAGGTTGTATTAACTGTGGATGTTTTTACTTTAAGTTTACGCAGAAAATGTTTTGTTTAATTTCTCTTTAGCTATCAAAAAGAAAATATATTTCGGGGAAAAAAATATTTTACAAAGTAACCCGATTTTACAAGCATTCTAGTCTGGATGACTCGGGTCATCCAGGGTGGGGTGTTACATTTTGGTATCAGAGAAATTGGTTTATAAAATGATCTTCTGACCTAAAAAAAAAAAGAATCGAGCAAAAACATTTGATGGAAAGAAATAAGGGAATGGAAAAATTATTTTTAAAACAAAAATTGTTCTACAGGTACGGCCACATCTCAATGCAGCTTCCTCCAAGCAGGTATCTTAATTTGGCTTTAAACTTGTGTGCAAAGCACATGGTTTTGATATTGATTGAAATATAAAAAAAGTAAATACAAGATATTACCTTTGGTGTTACCACATTATTTAGATATTGTGAAAATAGTTTATAAATTCATATCAGGATAATGGTAATATACAAGATACAAAGTTAGATGCCAATAGATAGACTGAATGGCAATCTAGAATCTTAGAATCTGTGCACAGATGTAATTCGGTTTGTTACGACCGAATAGCTATTGCTGGATAAAAGGGGGACGCCCCAAGTCTAGTAAGATATAAGTTTCTTTTACCGAGGACTAGACAATCATGTTGTGGAATGACCGTAGAAGGTCCGTAGATAGGGTATCAAATTATTTCTTTTACTAAGAGAGTAACTAATTTATATATAACTATTGAATGTGGAACATGCAGAAATACAATGAGATACAATGGAAATGGTGTTGCCTTTGGTTCTATAATAAAGCCTAGAATCCTGATTGTTTTGTGCTTTGTGTGCAACCTTCTTATGTGAAAAAAATTTCTGGATTTGTAGAATGATATTATTTGTATCTATAACTTGTGAATAACTAAATACAGTTATATTGTTATTTGTAATTAATTGGCAATGAGTATGTAGTAGTTGGCTAAAAAAAGAAATGAGAAAAAGAGAAAAAAAATACAACAAACAAGCCTATTACAATTAATTGAATAATGGTAAGTGGAAATAAAAGAGAAAAATAAAATATTTCAATAAAATCATTAAAAAAAAGGTAGCAGGCGTACATTACGACATATGACTAATGAAAGCCAACGCTGCCTGAAAAAAAAGAGATAAAAATGTGTTACATTTTTAAAAATGTTGATTATATTTTTTTTAAATCAAACTTTAACATGAGTCCTAAAAAAAAGAGACAAGTGGTCATTGTTCGGAAGTTGTTGCAACTGAATATTGGTTATAATTTATGGATTAAGTATCATTTGTATTCTCAAGAAAAATTATAAATTTTGCACAAAAAAAAAATAATTCCATGAAAATGAGGTTAATTACAAGAAATTTTTACATCAAAAATTTATTTTGAATTATGTACCATTCAAAAGGAGCTTGTTTGTTTAACATAATCCTTTATATATAATATTTGAGAGTTGAATTCTCAGAATTGCGACATTTGGCATGCTGACTGGATCTTTTTTTGACACTTCATCAGCCATGTCATCAAAATCAACTTCCTCAATATTCCAAACGGGTTGGGCTTCTAGAATTGTGACATGTGGCGTGCTTATTAGATAACTTTTTTAACATATGAGCATGTCAAGTTAGCAAGTAATGTTTAAAAAATAGTTAACAAAAAAACTTATTATGCAGAAATTAAATTTCATATTTGTTACACATAAATTTCCCCATATAATCGCGTTTAAAAACTTTTATATTTTCATTTATTATTGGAAAATATTTAAATTAAATAGTATAGTTTGAAATTTGAAAAAACCACCTATTCTAAAACTATAATCAAAACAAATAAATTTACTTTAAGAACGGATAGATTGGTAGGACTAAACGAAATTACATTTGATTTTTTTGCTTTGAATTAATAGTATTTGGAGAGATTTTCTAATTATTTAAAAAACGAAACAAATATATAAAAGGAAATGGATTTATATGGGCATGCTTATTTAATAGAGAATTAATTTTATTCCGTATATATAAAAAATTCTAAATCAAATAAAAAGTATGTTCCATTTTAAAATTAGTATTTTCCATTTTAAAATTATTGTTTTCCATGTATAGCTTTGTAAAAATTTACATGTAACAAAAATTATCATTTCCATTTATAACTTTGTAAAATGATCAAGACTTGATAAGTGAGTATTTATATGTAAGAAATTAAATATTAATTGGTGTTCCTAATCGAAATATTTATGGTATAATATTAATTGTTATAAATGTAATTACTTTTATATTTAATTCTTAAAAAAATGTGCTAATTATTTTGACATCTATGTCAAAATAATATAAGTAAGTAATATTCTTTCTTATTTATTCATTGAACCATCTACATCAATGTAACAAATATTAGTAGATAATAAAAAAAAAATTTAAAGTTTTTAGATAAAAAATTATAATATTTATTTTATGATGCTTATTATA